AACCACAGCAATCTATCTCACACAAGCACAAGCACTATCATCGCTTCCAAAATTGTAGAACAAATTAAGTTCATGAACTAAAGTACCACTGTATAGCATGACATGAACTTTAAGGTCCTTTATATGAGTAAACCATAAAGTATATTCACACTTCATCTATCATCTATAAGTTCAATGATACCAGGAAACAATCCCTAGCTTTCCGATGGGCACATCATTCTTGGGCACATCATTCTCTACAGCTACTGCCTGTGTGTAGTGTTTCCTACCTTAAGGAGAAAGACAAATGAAAGAGTCTTGAAGCTTGCTTTAGAATTAATAGTATTACTCAAGAAGGAGTTCTCAGTGAAAAGGATTCTTGCAGAAATAGTTTCTGCTCTGATCACACTTTTCCAATCAAGGCTAGAAGCCTGAGTGTGGACAGTACTTGCTTATCAGATTTTTTGCATCTAATGTCAAGTACGATTTTATGTTTTCTAGATATGGGTAAAACATGCCATTCATGTTATAGACATAGCATTAGTTTATGTTTTGATGTATATTTCATCTCTCATTGAAGTTGTTAAGGCTTTGACATTGATGAAGTCAACTTCTGAGAAAATCAGAACACTTACAGAGTACAGAGGGCAACTGTGTTAATTAAGACCCTTGATGTTTTAGAAGCAAGTAAGGTTATGTCAAAACCCATTTACAGTTACATATCCTTAGATTTTACCTGGTCATATAACATGGAACCTTCCTTCCTTTGAGGCAATCTGAATAATCCTGAAGGATCTATGACAGGAGGAAGTGTGCCAGAGAAGAACAGAGTTGTCTGTATTTATTTTCATTCTCATAGGCAGGTGTAGACTTTGATCTCACTTAATTGTCATGCAATCCTATGAGGTAGGTTGCTTTTTAAAAATGTGGAAAGTAAGGTATTGCGAAGGGAAATAACTTGCCCCTGAGGTCACACGATTCACTACATCCTGTAGTGAATCCTGTAGCCTGAAAACACAGCTGCCTGACTTCAGCAAGAGCTTTTCTTACCATAAATTCTGGTCACTGTAAATTTAGAGTTATTTCTATAATGTAATGGAGATTGCAAGCTTAAAGCAGGGATGGTGGCCAACCTTTTTAGAGATGAGTGCTCAAATTACAACCCAAAACCCACTCGTTTACTCCCAAGTGCTGACACTGCAATTAAACTTTTAAACTGAGGAGCTTTATTATAGAAAAAGATAACTCATACGTTAATACCCTTTTGTTTTAAAAGAAAAGCAAATGTCACGTGTAGTGCTGGTTCACCACCGCTGGCTTAGAGAGAAACAGCTGCACCCCCTTCGGCCCACACCATGCTGTCTACCGTAGATCCATTCAGCAGAAATGTGAAAACACTTTCATGTTTTTATGCAAGGATTCTACTTCAATTTCAGCCACAGTGCCAAGTATCTGTCCCTTGGCTATTTCCCCCAGAATTAAATTAGATGGGATTAGACCAGGGTTAAAGTGATCCAAGTAAGAGCTAAGTCAGTGTAGGCTCTGAGAGGCATCAAGCCTTGCTGTCTCCAGGTTTTCCTCCTCATTATTCTTCTTTTCAGAATAAAGCTGGCTCCTATGTCCTGCTGGCTGCAGCTAAGGAATTCTGATTATAAAAAATTCTATGCTGTTAAATTTGGCTCGGTACCTTTGTTTTCTTTGTTAGCCAGCAAAACTGCTGCAGCATCGTAAATCCTTGCAGGAAGGCTTCTGTCATGTGGGCGAACAAACAGCAGAAATCGTTTTTTAAAGATGTCCACTTGCTGCACAGCAGTGAACAGACCCACCACACAAGGGCTAATTTATGACTAGGAGGAAAAAATTACACACTTCAAAGCATCCCGTTCGGTGGCACTCACGATCATTAGTGAGAGTAATACTTATTTAAAAGCAGTAAACGGTTATTTCTAAACTGAACAGAATGGCATGCAAAAGAGGCATCATCCGGCTCACACATCCCCAGGCTCTCCAGAGAACCATTACAGTCTGTTTTGTTAGCTCACTTTCTGATTTCTCCTCTCTTCTTCCTTTTCTTCTCTGCTGAATAGCACCTTCGACCATTAAGTATGAACAATAAATGTGCACAGTAGCCATTTCAGAAAAGCAAAGCAATCAGACTCAAAAGATGATATTAAAGTAGTAATTCTACCAGTGACAGAAAGCCCAGATGGAATTGTGAGAGGGTGCCACGCGGGCTCTCGTGCCCGAAGCTTCCATCCCACCACTACACGGTGCCACCAGTGGATAATGCAGTGCCTTTGAGAGTGCTGTTTCCAGCAGCACATCCACTGTTTGGATCTCTTCCTTTCCTCTTGAAGACCTCTAGTGGATAATGCACATGCCACGATGGAAAACAGTTATTGGATTTCTTTTGTTTTTTGTAAACTAGTGCAAAAAGGCAACATGATGCAAAGGAAATTTGATTATTATTAACCAGTGGATAGTCAATTAAAATGTCATGGATCATTTATTTTGGATGTGGCATTTGAAAAAGAGTAGAACCCGCACTAAGCTTAAGAGTATTGGTATCTGAGTGTTGTAAATTGTAGATGGTCCTTACATTATACAACGATATTGAGTCAATTTCTGCTAAAATATGAATCTGATTGAAGTAGGGCTTAACTCATATGTCCTTCTACTTTGGAGAACACTCTGCCTGCAGCTGGGAACTGTGTGCAGTTACCAGCTGACACATTTGACTTGCATGAACTAGTACACAAGACAGAAGTGTCATATGTCTTTAAATTAAGCTAAGAGTTTAATTTGAATAAGTTGATTTCCCATTCTATTTGGAAACTGAGTTATTACTTTTTTAAGATTATTATTTAAGTTACTGGCAAAAAAGAAAAACAACTGTTAAGTTTACTTTTTCTTTTCTTCCTTTTTATTTTATGGTACTAGGGAACGAACTTAGGACCTCATGCTTTCCAGGCAGGTGCTTATGCCGCTGAGCTAGCTCCCCAGTGAGTTTACTTTTTTATATATAGGACTCTTTGAAACACTCAAGCTAAATCATAAAAAAATGATATTTTTCAAAAAAATACACATGTTGAACAAAATAGGTAAGACAAGACTCAAGCATAGTTCTCTAGTTGACATAGTACCTCTTTGTTTTCTCAATTTCTGTTCTGAGGCCATAAATAGGCAGAGTCTAGCAAGTCTTCACACTGAGAGTGGTAAAATTTAAAATCAACCAGATCTCCCCATCAAAGATTACTATGTATTATGAGTTTTGGAAAAAAAGGTAAGCAATTAAAAATGGTTTCACTAAAGTGGAAATGTTTGAGGAGGCACAGAAACCAGAGATTGCTGAGGGCTATGCAAGGAAAGGGGGAGGTGAGCCCATATTGAAATGACCATTAAGTGAACAAGAATCTCATCTGTGCTAAGGCTCTAAGGGACAAAGAAAAGCTATGCCCAGGCATCTGGTTAAAGCATATTGTTCTAAATCAAAAGAGTGAAAGCTATAAATCCTAAGTATTTAGGAGCCTAGAGATTTAGTTAATTTCATAAGTGAGAGTACACTGGCTTGAACAAAGGAAAAAATTGCCTAAATCACATCAGGATGTTGAAAATAGTCTAAATATAATATTGATTCTTTTGATTATGCTGTCTTTGTCTCCTTTAACACAAAGAGACACTTCTGTCTCATGTACTAGTTCATGCAAGTCAACTGTGCCAGCTGGTAAATGCACACAGTTCCCAGCTGCAGGCAGAGTACTCTCCAAAGTAGAAGAAAAATGCAACTTGCAGTTTACAGTTCAGATAAGAACTCTGGTAGAAAAAGCACTTAGTGTTGCCCACACAACAGACTTACAGGGTCAGTGCAAGCTTTCCAGCTGCTCTCACATCTAAACTGGTTCCTTGAAGGATAAGGAGAGATTACCCAAGGGAAGTGAGGGGAGGAAGAAGCTGTTCCCTGTGGAGGAAATAGCTGATAAACAAGATCACAGGCAAAAAAGAACTGGCAAGCGAAAGGAATTCAATGCGACTGGGACACAGAGTGCATAGTGGGATGCAGTGAGCGGTAACGGAGCTCATCGAATCCTGGGAGGAATTTGGAGTTGACCTCAATTAACAGGGAGACAAAGGATTTTAAAACAGGGATGCTACCAAATAGATGGACATGTTGGAAAGAACATCTTAATTTTTACTTAACTGGAGGGAGGGGATAGTTGTAGAAGGCATCAAAGCGCTTTGTGGGCTGTTGCAATATGGCAGAAGACAGATGGTATCATCTGATAGATTATGTGGGAGTGGACAGGGTGGAGAAGGGAGGTTGGGCTTGGGGTATTTGGGCAGGAGAATCAAGAGTATTTGATGATAAATATGTAGATACAAACAATTGTGGGTCATTAGGGCATGAACAATCTAAAATTGAACTAAAATATCTGGTAGAAGTCTTGTTGGGGACTTTGTAAAACAGGGATATGGAGCAGTGTCCCCAGTGAAATACTTCTACTGAGAACAGAAATTTATGGGAGCTCTGCATTTGCTCATTATGAATGAATTCACTGAATTCTGGGTGCATGGTACAGACTAAATTCGATAGACAATCTTCTACAAAGTATTGTAACCGGTTGTGTTCCATAGGAACAGGCATAAATCCTCAGTGAGATTTTCCCATGACAAAAGAAGCTGCCTCAGGGACATCCTTAATCCAAGCCCCTCCCAGCCTCTGTATAGCTTGGTGGATCCTGCTTAGAAGGGGTGGGGTTAGGTTCAGCGCCCTATACCCTGTTCAGCAGTATTATTGTTGTGCTCATACATCTTCGGGAATTGCTGGTCAGCCCAAAAGCAGCAGGACTGGAGCTTTGAATAAGAGCAACCTGAATGAAGAGAAAGCTTTACTGTCTCCATATGAAATTTCCTGGAGGACTAAGGTTTTCTAGTTCCCAACTGCAAGGATGAAGAAGCATAAGATGTGCTTCTGGGCTGTGATGTTTCCCAAGCCCAACCCAGGACATAATTCAGGTACTCACCCCATCTCCACCGTTTTCGCCTGTGTTGGCAAGCATTTCCTGAAGGGCTCTGACAGAGAGAGATTGTTCCAGCACAAAATTGCAGATGCAGAGGTCTGGAGGAATATACTGTGGAAAGAAAACCATAGTGAGGACACCTCCCCAAGTCAGTCAGGCATGTCACACAGCAACCTCCCAGAGGTGAAGACGGAGTGAAGCCCAGTGAAGGCTGCATGAATAAACTGTAAGTGTGAAAAGGTCACTTTCTTTCATTCGAGCTGAGATATATTTTAAGATGGCTTCCAAACAACAAGAAGTAGAAAGCCCCCAAGTCTCAAGAGAACAGTAGCCAAGAATTCAGGGTCCACTAGAATGAAGGCTGGTGGGCGAAGAAGCCCACACAGCTCTGTGGGAGAAGGGACATAAATCCTCAGTGAGGAAGAGGAGGCCATTCACTCCCAGGTCTGAGTGGGACTACAGGAGGACAGCCACTGGGCTCCCACCCACAGTCCTCTGTGAGAGCCGTGGATGCACCAGAGTGCTGTGCCAGGCCGCAGCAACTGACACAGGGAGGCCACTTATTTTTAAGGAACTAGATATCATAATGCACAAAAAGGCAGTAGAGGAGGTTAAACGCTATATAAGTATAGCACTGCAGGAATAAATATCCTGGTAAGAACCGTTGACCCTCATAAAAATCTTAGTGATTTGTTAGAGACAGTTTGCTAAGTTATCATCATGACGTTGCTCCCTGCTCTGGGACCTTTCTCTACAATGCTTAAAGAGGCAGACCTTTTTCAATACTAACTAGCAGTAGTTAAGACAGAGTGAACATATGTTCTGTGCCAGGCAGTATTCTAAGTGCTTCTCACATATTAACTCATTTAATCCTTAAAACCACCCCCAAAAGATTGGGAGTAAGATTTATATTTGGCCGAGACAGATTCACACCTAGGCAGACTGTCTCCCACGTTCATGCACTTATCCCTACACTGTTCCTACTACTGACAAAAATGTTAGACTATTTTTCTCCACAATTAGAATATCTTTGATCACCAAGATTGATTTTGATCACCAAATATTTAAATATTATGCAGTGTTTCATATTGAGAAAGATACAAAGAAACAGAAAATAAAATCATTTCTCCTCAGGACCTTAAGAGTCCGGTTTCATGATACTTCATCTTCCATAGGAATACAGCGGGTGATTCTCTTGCAAGCCAGTCTTTGGCAGAACACTGACACCATAAGGGTGACAGGGATGAGGGATGTAGGCCAGAAGCCACTTGTAGCTGATCCCACACGCCAAGATGGTAAAGCTGTTTCCATGGGGCTCTGATTTAAAAGCTAGAACTTCTGCTACTGAGACTCAGATAACTTCTCTAACAAGTACTTTCATTAGAAAAATGAAGGCAATGGGATTGGCCATCGCTCAGTTCCTTGTAATTTCCAAGTGCTTCTGTCTTCTCCATCTCCTCCCATTGCTAGTGCCCACAAAAATTAAGATGATGTTCTACCTGCTTGATCCACCCATAATTTTAATTTATTACAAATTTAAAAGCAAGAATTAAAACATTAAGCCAGGAAAGGGCACACCAAGCCTAAAGATTACTGGCCATGGCTGACTCACATGTTTAAGTACTTTTTCTATGATTTACTTTTCTGCTAAGAAGTTGAGAGGGGACTTTTCTGTTCTCATACTTTCCTTTCTTTTAAATGTATTTAGTACGGGGTCTATAAGGTCTCATTACACAGGTTGGACTCATAGTGATCCTTGTGTTTTCAGCCTCCCAAGTGCTGGGATTACAGGCGTGCACCACCAAGTCCAGTCTCAATCAGCCTCTCAGCGTGCCCCAGGGGTGGGGCTGGCACAGCAGCACACTGGAGATTGAATCCTGGCCCCTGCGCCTGCCTAAGCAGGCACTTTAATCTGCTCAGCTATCTGGCTGGCCCTTGTTCTAGTACTTTCCTAATCGAGGTCAGTTTGGTCAGGAATCCTAACAATTCCATCTTTCTATAATTGTGGCATGATAGGAATTCCTCTACGTGTCTTTATTGTCCATTTAACCCCGGTAGATGGCATCACAAGGAGGATCGTAGCCTTCATTTTACTTTTTTTGCTTTGTTTTCAAATTCTGTTCCCATGGCAGGTAATTAGCTCATTTGTATGAGAGTTGGGCGAGCAGACAGCTGGTGAGGCAGGGCGCAGCCTCACACCTAGGAAGTGTTTAGAGCACATACAGCATCATTACAAGTACTATACAATTATGATGAAGCATTTCCCTAAAGACTTTATAGCACAAACACGATGTCCAGCTTTCAGTCTCCCAAAATATGATGCCATCTCAGGAGATTTGAGAGATTTAAAAAAAAACATTCTAAAACAGGAAAAGAAAGGGCATGGTTTGATCATTTCTCTCTCCTCAATTTCACTAGAGTGTATGGTTTAGAGAGTTTCCATTCAACCTGCAGTTACTATTCATACTTTATAAGGTTCTTTTGGGTTAATAAATTGAACGATCCCAACTTTCATGTCTAGCTTACAACTGTTTAGTATTCTTATTTTAATATAGATGCTCCAAGGATTAGATAACATGACTTTTTATCTGAGTTTGTGTGATTGTAAGTCACCTTTCTTTCCTGCCTGTGTCTGGTTTGCTTACACAAGTGTCAGGAGCTCTCCCAGTCTCTGCAATGATTGTCCCTGCCAATGGAAGACTACTGATAGGTGACATGCTAAAGTTATATCTGACTGTTCCCTCTGGGTATTTAAAGTCCCAGAGTAGTCAGCCTTTCATTACTCTTATGAGTGGCTACACTTAAGCAGGAGGACAGTGTGCTGAGCATCTCAAGTATGGGCACCATATTGGCCCAGGCTTCCAGTTTCCTTAAAGTTTAGTTTCTGCATGTGATTCCCTCCTGGACTCTTTATCCTTGGGAATATGGTCATGCCATACTGGGAGTGCACAAAACAGCATGTAGGCAGTGGTGGAAGGGGAGCAGGGCAACAGGAGTGTGTGGAGAAAAATGAAGTGCAGCTAGCGACTTGTGGCATGAATGGAGCACAGAGCCACTTGAACTGCTGTGCCAGCTGTCATCCTTAATTAAACTCCAAGCTTGCCTGAGCCCCCACTCCATACTCTTGAAGAATGAGCAAAGGCCATGCTTCCATTCCAGCTCATTTGCTTGCAGGCTGAAGAGCACCCAGAGGCCGGTGCTCTGTTCCCATGCTCGGGAGTCTGTGCCTCAGTCACTCTGCCTGGCAGGCACGGGGCTTGTGTTTGATGATTCTCAGCACGGAGGAAAAGGCTCTGTTGACATCTGTTCTGAAACAGCTCCTCATCAGTCTCCTCAGCCCTGTCCTTACCTTAAAGAAGCACTGTGTTTCAAGGTGTCCTACAGAAAACCTTGGGATGCCAAGGCCCTCAGTAAGCCTGGAACTAGAATTCATTTAGCCTACTGTAGGGAGGATAGAGAAAGGAAGGCTTGTGTTGTCCATGTGCCATAATCCTACACAAGACACCCAAGGTACTGGGAATCTGTGTCCCTCATCCTGGGTCACTAGATGCTTCTTTATCTAGCACTCATGCTAAGCACCTGACTAGCTGGTGTGAACCAAGCTTTCAAGAGCACAAAATGGAGGGGTGAGGGCGTAAAGGCCTGCCTGGCAAGTACTAGGTCCTGAATTTAATCCCCAGTAACAAAAACAAAAACAAAACAAACAAACGACCCCCCCCCCAAAGTTGGAGTTAATTACAAGAAGAAGGACTGACACCTCTATTACACTGTGAACCACAGTCTATTTTAACTTACTTGCCTGCCCATTCTTGGGGCCAGTGTTTAATAAAGCCAGAAACTTACCCCAGTGGCTTGGTTCTTGGTTTCCTTAATGTGTATTCTCAGATACATACTCAGTCATCTTCTTAGTGACTAACTTGAATTAAGTTTCGTGTAAAGCCCAGGAGGAGGCAGTTCAAACCTAACACTGGACAGTATCCAAAACCAAAGTTGATGCATTGAAGTTTGTCTGTTTCACAAGGCTGTGGGTTCTTTGAAAAAAAAATCTATGCTTACCTATTCTCGGTACCCCCAGTACATAAAACAGTGTTTGCCCTACTCATATCTTCTTGAATAGTCTCTCTATCATCTCAGACCCTCCAGGCATAGATAACTGATGCTGGCAGTGGCCACAGACAAGTTGCACTGAGCATTTCTTCTGACACCCTTCCCAAGTCTCCTACTTTTATTCAAGGGAATTCTTTTCTTATTATCACGGGCCTTTTCCAATTCTCTGCTCATCCGTGTGGTTACACAGAGCCATGCATCATCAATAAGCTGTTTAAGTGTATCTGTACCTCTGAAGACAACCTAGGGCTTACTCCACAGGACTGGCTACAGTCAAATCTCCCTTTAGTGACTTATTAGCTGAATGACATGAAGCAGGTAACTTAGTCTCCTTATGCCTCAGTTTCCTTACTTGTACAATAAAGATGTAAGTGTATGTACTTACTTCTCAGGCTAAATTGACTTTTTATGATTAATGACCTTAAAATAGAATCTAACATTTTATAAATACTTAATGTCAGATCATATTAAACAAGTAAAAGTGAAATCAAAATATCAGCAACTCACTTAAATAGTCACTTATTTGTGTCTAATATTTTTGAAGCTGCCACTTTGTACAAAAATAAGATACAACTCTTCTCCACCAGGCCTGTGCAGTCTTGAGGGGTGGGGAAGTCTGGGAAGCAAATGGACAATTTCCAAAGTCTGACACAGAAGACCCAGAGGCAAGTCAGAAGGCAGATTTGAGATAGCTAGAGGAGGTAGGGTGGGCATGGCGGAGAGCTGACAATGTGTAAGAGAGACAGGGGAGAGCAGAAGCCCCGGCAGAGAAGTGAGGCACAGGAGGCAGGAATGATACTGAGAAGGGCCTTGGGTCTTGCAGTCCATGAGTATTTGGGTGGTATTTTTGCAGTAACATGGATGCATTAAGGAAAGCTTGGCAAGAGGTGAGGCAATCACATTTACACTTTGTGATACTACTCTGGGTCCAGAGGGTGGAAGGCTAGACCCAGGCAGAAAGGCAGATCAGGTTAGAGACTAGGGGAAGGCTGGATCCGAGGACA